TTATGCATTGTGAAGTTTGCTTTTAAATGGGATATAGATAAACGTGTGATAAATATATTTAATTTTAATGAATAAATAAAAATGTAAAAGAAATAACAAGGTTTATTCTTATTGATAGATAAGCTATGAACCCGTTTAGAAAATATTTCAAATGCATAAAATGTAAATTCAGTAGGTTACTTATTGATATTTCAGGCACTTAAAGGCATTAAATTAAAAGTAGGGAACTTAATCTTTTCAATACTTGAAGGAATTGTTTTTTTCTTGGTCGTCTCAAAACTATATCTCTCTTATTGAGAAAAAGAAAAAGAGAATGAGACAGAATTGATCAGTTCCGAGACATACACTTGAAGTGAAACTTGCTGCTAAAATTAATAAACTATAAAACTAGTGATTGTTTACTTTTTTCTTTATGTTGCATAAAACATTAAATAATATTATATTAATTCAATTAAAACTTCATTTCAATTCAATACTACAAAATACGCAATAATTTGATCACTTTTTTAAAGAATCATTTATGTTAAAACCACGGGAACTTCGTTTCATACTTCAAGTTGAGGTGTAATTATGCAATTTCCTATAAGAGAACAAAAACTAGAGAAAAAGGAATTTAATAGACACCTAGTTAAGATAAGAAACACCGATTTTAAAATTACAACTTTAATTCAATGTTTTGAATTAAAATCGTAGAGAGAAGAGAGTGATGCTTGAGTTATCATCGTATACAAAACTTTCTCAATCAGAAACAGTTAATAAAACAGAGAGCGAAAACGAATCTGATAGTCTTGAGATTTCTGAAAAGTCCACGTCTTCATCCGAAGACCCGATAGATTTAGTTCTGCTTGAGATCGGAAGAAAGAAAAAAAAAATTAAAAGAAAATATAAACGACACCAAATGGACAGAGTTCGTAGTTTCGGTGGAAGTGAATCGTATGAGGTGAGTTCCGCGAATGTTTGATTCCGTTTTTGAAATTGTAATATTTTTCTCATGCGTTTCTTGACACCTGAATATTTTTAACATATCTCTCACTTATTTAAATCTAAACAACAGATCATCTAACCGTAGCTGTAGTATGAAAACAATACGTGTATGAATGTGTAAAAATATCAAGAGAAACGTGCAAACTTATAAAGAGAGAAAAAAATCTTTCACTACAGGGAGCACTTATTTTATAACATTAATCTCAATAAATCACAATACTTATCGTCGATGCTTTTTTCTGATCATTATTAACTGTGTAATTATTTATTCTAAATTTTGTAAACATCCTTTATGTATATAATCAGATGTATACATTCACACCTATACAATTAATAGCAACCTTAATAATTCCACTTATTTTTTAAGTGTAAAAATATTAAATATAAAAGTTGAAGCAAAAACGATAATAAAATACCTATGACACAAAAAATCACATAAATAAGTTGTCATTCTCTTTACAACAACGACCACCGCTAAACGATACAGAGAATTTGTGTGTTCACAGTATTCATGAAGAAATTCTCACTCTCTCGCTAAGTTGGAATTTCCATGCATATGTTTTCTATATTTTTAGTGTTTTTTTGATCACTGGTGTATAATGTTTGAAGTCAGTTATCGGCTTCCATTGTGACACTTTAAAATAAGTTTACAATATTGGCGTATTTCTTAAACGGTTGAGATTTAAGATTTTTTAAATTATCATTAGACAACAAGTTTCTAAACAAAACAGGAAAAAGTTGTAATCAATTTGACTGATCAAAGAGAACAGTATTTATTAAAAACAAAGTGAAAAGCAATGCCTTCATCTAATTCAATAGAGATGTCACAAAGTGATCAGGTAAAAATATATAATTATTTACAATACTTCATTTTAATTGTCCTGTCTGACAAATTATGTTGATGTATTATACCTATATTACCTAGATTTACTTAAATATCAGATTGATTCGCAAAGTTCTAAACATCAAGTATAAAATTTATAATGAAGAATTAAAATCCCAATGGCAAACCAATTAAATGAATTAGCCATCGTTGGAAAGCCTTCAATTTACCTTTTTTTAACGATATAAGGAATTAATTTATCAGAAAAAAATACATGACGTTATCATTGAGCATGTTTAAAATGTTATGAATAACTATCTAATCTGACACTATATATCATTAAATTACCAAAATATACCTTAATAACACAAATTTATCGAGAATTGAATTAAAAATTTATTCTTTTTCTCAATTTTTTCACTTGTATCGATGACAAAAAACTTTCTCTTTTTATTTTAACGAACGTGCTTAGAAAAATAAATATTGAAGTACCTAGCCGTCTTATTTAAAATATTTATTTTGATGTTCTTATTCAGCGATTGAATTTTTTTGCTATCTAACTTATTCCTTTGTTGGAGAAAATTATCTGAGCATTGCTATCTATCTAATTGTTTTGTTATTAAAAATAAGATAAAAGAGATGGGAAATATTTTTTCTCATAGTTATATTTTAGTTTTTCTAAATAATCCTAGACAAAATATTGAACGATATTCTGAATTTTGTAGATCATTATAGGAGATTTTACTCCTAAAATAAATTTATTAACCATGTGATTAAAATGTTTGAAGAAGGTGATTGGTAAACAATTAATTTAATCAATTTTTATTGATGTAGTAAACAAAGATACTGTCAAATATTTTTTCTGAATTTATTGGTCATTGTAACTAACTAATTTTATGATATCTTTTATGGCCTTCCTTATCAAAATGATAAAAACCAGTAAAACAAAATCTTGATATAAGTGTTTATTATTTACAAGGTACTCATAGGATCAGCAAAACGACGAAAACAGTTTTTGATACTTGGGGGCTTATGTTTTGTAGCAATTTTAGTGATCCTTGCTATAGTTCTGTCAGTTGTATTAATTAGCAAAGATGACAAGGAAAACAATCATCAAGATCTGGAATTATCAGACATTTTATCGGGAAGTCTTCAACCTAGAAGATTTAATGGAACATGGATTGATGACAATACTTTTCACTATTTTGACACACATGTAAGTAATTTAATTATTTTGAAACCATACGAATCACGAAAACTTAAACATTTGTAATATTTTAAGGGAAATTTTATGGTATACGATGTGGCACAGAAGAAATCTGAAATTTTTATGAACAAAAGTTCAGATAAATTTTTTGAAGCGATTTCGTATGAATTCTCGGCTGACAGAAAATACATTTTGACTGCAACTGACTACGAAAAACTTTTTCGCCATTCCTTTTTTTCATATTGGTATGTTTATGATGTTGAAAGAAAAGAAAATATTCCAGTCACAATCGAAGGAAAACAATTGAAGTATCGATTAGTTAAATTCAGTCCTATCGATAGTTCTATGATTATTGTTTACAACAATAACATTTACTATAAACGTTCTCCATTACTACCTGAAATTCAAATAACAACTGATGGAACTTATGATAATTTAAAATACATTTCAAATGGTGTTCCCGATTGGGTTAACGAGGAAGAAGTTTTTTCATCGAATTCTGCAATTTGGTTCTCGCCGGATGGAAACAAAATAAGCTACATTCGATTTGACGACACTGGAGTACCATTGATGTCTCTTCCAATCTATGGACCTGTTGGTTCTTCTCTTTATCAGTATCCACAAACGCTTTCAGTTAATTATCCAAAAGTAGGAACAAAAAATCCTCTTGTGAGTCTTTTTTATGTGGACCTCAGTTCTGTCACTGATGCAAATTCGATTGTTCGGCATGAAGTTCAAATTCCCGAGAGATTCAAGAACACTCAACAAGACCATTTAATAACATCAGTTTCATGGGCATCAAATAATGATTTAATAGCAGTATTTATGAATCGCGTACAAAATAAAGGAGAGATTCAAAAATGTTCAACTGAAGGAACCCCAATCTGTACCGAAATGCTAATTTTAGATGTTGATGGTGGATGGATCGATTTTTTCAGCAGTCCTTTATACAACAAAGACGGAAATTCGTTGATATTTATTGGATCTTATGAAGGCTATCGTCATGTTATGTCTTTAGACTTAATCACTTCCGTTCTTTATCCACGAACCAAAGGGAAATTTGTTGTCACTGATATTTTGAGTTTCAACAAAGAGCATAACGTCATTATTTTCACAGCGAACACAGAAGAAGATGTCAAAGCTCAACATATTTATGCAGTGAAAAACCTAGAAAATTCAACAGTAAATTGTCTGACATGTACACCACCATCTCAATACTCTTACTTTACAGCTGAAGTTTCAGAAGGTGGAAATCATTTAGCCATAATTGCAAATGGCCCAGAAGTCCCACAGGTTCACATGTATTCACTTGATGTGAGTGAATCCATCAGTTTGAAAAATCACATTGAATTTCAAGCCAATAATAATCTCGTTGAAATCTTGAAAAATCTTACAATGCCAAGAATTATTTATGACAAAATTGTTTTGCCAAATGGTTCGGAATCGCAAGTCATGATGTTTCTCCCATATGACTTAGATAGCAATAAAAAGTATCCACTAATAATTGAAGTCTATGGTGGACCTGATTCTTCTAGTGTCACAAACAGGTGGTCGATAGAATGGGGAACCTATCTGGTTTCAGCTCGTGATGTTATATATGCTAAAATCGATGGCCGTGGGGCTGGATTACGAGGAGATAAAAATCTATTTGAGTTATATAGAAATCTTGGGACTGTTGAAATTGAAGATCAAATTGAAACAACTAAACTTTTGAAAGAGAAGTATTCTTATCTCGATGAAGTGAAAACTGCCATTTGGGGTTGGTCTTATGGTGGATACGTTTCTGGAATGAGTTTAATGACTGATACAAGAAATGTTTTCAAATGTGCAGTTTCTGTTGCACCTGGTAGGCTTTTTTTAATCGTATTTATATGACACAAATTCTGATTTCTATTGCTTCTGATTTTTTCAGTTACTGATTGGACTCTTTACGACTCTATCTACACTGAACGTTATATGGGACTGCCTGATGATAATGTTGGAGCTTACGAAAAATCCCGAATGATGAATTATATTGAAAACATTACAGCCTACAATAAGACTTACATGCTTATTCATGGAACTCTAGATGACAATGTTCATTTTCAACAAGGAATGTTATTAGCTAGAGCACTTGAGCGAAAAGATATCCAGTTTAAAGAAATTAGCTATCCAGACGAAGATCATTCGCTTGCTGGAGTTCGTCCGCATTTGTATCACTCACTTGAACGATTTTTCATGGATTGTTTTGAAGAAACAAACTAGTTCATATCATATTTTTTGATATCTAAATATGCTAAATTCGCCATGTGACTTGATTCTTTTTTATTCCCTTATAAATAATGTTGAACCATTCATTAAATTGTTGATATTTATGTACATATATTTGATGTTATTATGTTCGCATTAGGTTCATCAGAAATGATAGAAGTACCTAGCTAGACAGAGATTTTTATGTCTAACATAAAAAAGTGTGTTAAGAAAAATGTTTGGATGTTGTATTTTAGTAAATAAATATCAATTTAGAAGAATTTATGTAGAAAGTTATAAAAGAAATGTGCCTATCCCATACCTAATAAAGTTTATGTTTGCGATAAGTTTGCAAGCACTATTTATCTTTGATAAACTCTAGAATTCATAGTGTACGAATTGGATTTGTTTTAAGATGCAAATTACAATTTTATTTTCTTATTTCTTCCGTAATACATTATGTTTGCAATAAAAAGAACAAAAATTTAACTCTTCATATGTATTGAACAGTAACTGAAACTTTTGTGGATTTAATTTCTTAGTTTTCTTATGATGTGTTACAATTTCCATTTAATCTCAAATAATCTTGCTTCACTTCTTTTTTTTTGTCCCATT